TTCTGATAAATAGAAACTCTTCGCCTCGCCGGCAAAAATTGTTGACTCGCAAATTAGCGCGGGCGGCACTGTGCTCGACGCGATTATTTGATCCGCCGACGCGACCCGACGCGACGCGCCGCGACGCGAAACGAAGCGACGCTACGCGACGGAAGCCCGTGGAATTAGTTATGCGATAAAAAGTTGTTTGCCGATCGTTAGCCGGCGGAATGACTTGCGAGCAACGTCTATCGATTGACTACACCTGGTGCGGCGGCAACCTTCGACGTTTGGCTCATCCAAGTATTATTTAGTGCGTGTCAGAGGAGATATTTGGTCCATCCATCACCGGGCCGGGACCACCGGTGCCGGTCATCGAGCTAGATTATCGCGGGGTATATACACTGATACAGGTCCGCAATGTTCCTGGCCGGTCTGCCGTTCCTAAACCCAATTTCTAGCAATCGACAGTTCAATTATCGATCTCCTTCGTTCGCCGGCTCGATACGTACGAACGTTTACGAGCTGTCGGATACTTGCCGCCGAGATCGAGGCCGGATATCACCGATCGTTCGCGGCAGCATGCTGCTTCTATATAAGGAAGCCAAACTTCGCCGACTTGAATAATTCCGCGGCGTTTTCTTCGCTTTAGTTTACGCTCTTCATTACAACGCGCCTCGGCCGGGGCTACATAATGAAACGTTTCAAAGTTTTGAAAAAAGGAAAGAAACAGGAAGGAGGCGAGAGAGAGAGATGAAATTTGTGGGAAGCTTCACCGACGGCCCACTTTGCATGGAATTAATAACGAATGCGATCCGTTAGCAGATTAAACTATTTGTTCGGCTTCGGAATTATCCGAGTTCGGCCGGGCCAATGCGAATTTTCAGTTTCTTTCGATTTCTTCCTTTGAGATCCACTCTCTGGGACTTGGAAGAGTTCCCGGTTGCGCCCTTTGCGGCTGGCCACTCTGAAATCCTCTCGCTACCCTTTTCAAGCGTTCTTAGTCCTTCGCAGATCTTTCGGTGCTATTGGAGAATTTCTAAGGAACGATGGAGATCTCCCAGGCCCTCTCAGCAGCCTCCTCCGGTGTCTCCAGAGACTGTTACGAGTCCTTCGAGGGTCTTCCTGGTGTCTGGGGATCTCGGAGAACCTACTTTGGTTCCTCAGGAATCTCTGGAGACCTTCTTTGAGTGACTTCCTTGATCCTCGTACCGCGTCGCCGTCGTTGCCAATCGAGGGGACCGATCAAGAAGACTCGCGAGACCCGAGACAAAGCGATCGAGGTATCTACTACACTATGATAACACCAATCTACTAATCCTGTTGGGGAGGAGATACATTATCATTTCACATCTGTATATTGCTATTTAAGTGGACAATTTGTATTCTATTGACCTTTTTTGTGACTTGAAAGAAGGGGATAATTTACACTAGTCCAACTTGATTTTAATCGGTAAGGAATGCAGGGTGAACTATCCAATGATTTTACATTCTGCTGCAAAATTTTGGTGGCATATTCTACCTTTTTCATTGAACATGCTGCAATTATTTTAATGATGGCTCCGTGAGCAGTTGCAGATATCCTTTGACATAACCTTGATATAAACTTGAAATAATCTTGACACACCTTACAGCCCTTGCGCGATTGCTACCGTATTATTACTTACTGTAACAAAGGGTACGACACCGTTTATATATTTCGGTTCCGAAAAATTAGTAAATATTCTTCAGACGTTCTAAAGTAAAGGTGAACAGCGTATTTCTTAAAAATATCACTTTTACGGAGTAAACAAAAATCCGGGAAGTTCAGGCTTCGTAACTTGTTCAATACTTCGAACGCGGCTCGAGTCCGTCCCGACCTTCTGTCAAAGCCTCGTGCTGCGGATTCTCTCTCTCCCGCACCATCACCTCTCATTGGCCAGTATTTTTCGTTGATAACTCGTAAACAAAGCCGCAGATTGCATTTTCCCAAAGGAAAAAGTTACTTCAAATGACCTCACCTACCCCTCATTTTCGGCTGTTAAAATAATTGTGGAACACACCCTGTATAAAGTTATTTTTATTATTTCCTCGTTAGAAGGGAACAACGATTGTTTCAAGCAAACTTTGATTCGAACAATATCAGACAAAATTTGATTCGGATAAGAGACGAAGACCAACGAATAAAATTGTATTCGACACACTATTGCATAAACATCCAATCGAATACAAATTTACCTAGACAAAAATTCTTTCCGAAAGGATTATTTGAACAAGTATGTAGATAATTTACGACGAGTAATCGAATAAAATAATCGACTGAAAAGAATTCCTTCGAATAATTAATTAAATAAACAAATTCGAATGATACCCGACTCTGGGTTCAAGCAACCGATTTCACAAGTCGAGCGACCGGACGTGCGATTAGGTTGACTTTACGAGAAGCATAGTCCTCGTTACGGGGGCGGCCAGCAATAATTTTCTGCGTGTACGGTCGTCGGAAGAAAAAGCGAGAAAACTCATCGGAAATGTGAGCGAGGTGACGCGAACCAAATTGAATAGCATCGGTACAAACAGTGGGGCGCCGGTTACGCCCCGTTCCCCGGCCCGGCGTTATCCCTTTCGAGCATCTCACGCGACCTCGCTCGGCTCGGCTCGGCTCGGCGCGGCGACCAGCTCGAAATTCAATTTACATATTCATGACAATTCATTTGTACCCCATGGTACGACATAGGGCTGCCTCCCCCGCCTCTCGAGAACCTCTTATTAATTCCTGTCACCCCGGCAGCCCCGCTAAATTCCCATGGCTGCGGAATAAAGAACGGGAAAAGAGGCGGACGATCTGTCCGGCGACCCCAGCCGGATACCGAGGAATTCATTTTTGATATAGAAACTCGCGTACGCGGCCCATTTGCCGAGGGTAACCTCGTCGGAGGAAGAAAGCTATTTTCAACGGTGTTCGCTCGCTTCCGCGGCAAATTGTTTGCTTTCCTAATGATCTTTCGCTGACGCGCCCCCTTGAATCGTCTTTTATGCTAGTTTCCTACGAAAATGATGCATTACATTTTTCTTGAGCGTTACGGTTCGAAAAGCACATGGTTTTTGTTGAAAAAGAAACTTTAGCCTCGGACAAAAATTAACACGTTCCGTGCCACGTGTACCATCGATGGTACACGCTTGCATGTTTACTTAGTGAACTGAACAAATTGTTTACAAGAAATTTAGAACCGAAGAATCAATTTCCACCGCAAGAATGGGCGTTGATAAGTTTTTGTTACGTTGTTATGTGTACGAGAATTAATAATTGCACGTAATACATCAAGTTTTAGTAAAATATCAAAGTGTGAAGATTTGAGTAAAAAAAGCTCGGCACGGAACGTGTTAATCTATAGTTTACTTTAGACTGAGATTCGAAAATATCTGATTACGTTTCCGCCGGTTCCGTCAGCGCGCATCGACGGTGATGTAAACTGTATGTCAAAGATACCGCGATACACCATCGCCGGTGTTGTTAGAACACACCGCGCTCTGACTGTTAGCGACCCCAGTACCGCGTATACAATGTAAGACGCGATGAATGACCGTCTATGATTGGTGGAGAAGACGACACCAAAAAGGGTATATAAGCAGGCGATTTTCAGTTGCCGGTCTCTCATGACTATGTCATCATTTACAGATACCCACTTCAAGTTGTTGACAACATTCACCTTGATTGCCCGGTAAGCCGGTAACTTTTGGCAGGCACGAGCCTCCCCACCTCAAAAAAAAAGAAGTTGCCGGTCTCTCAGTTGAATTTGGTCGCTCAGTCATTTCGTACACATACCTTCTCACAAATAAAAGTAAAATAAAGCTTTTTATGAGAAAAAGAATTAATACCATATTCATTTGAGAAATAATCCAAGCCATAATCCCAATAGTTTTCTAGCGAGTCTGCTTTTAGGCTGTATTCTGTAGTAGGTCGATACTGTTTAATTTTATAATTGCCATCCTAAGAATAAATAGAAAGTTGAACGTTCTTTAAATTGTTTCATGTCGAGATCGATCGCGGTGAGCCGCGACTGGTCTGCGAATGTTATGCATTTATGCGAAAAACGTGTAGCTGAAATATAAAATTGTGAAGACGTACGAAGAATTGAATAATATTTGTACTATATTTTCGGCTTGGGGAAATGAGTAAAAGAAGCAATTTATTTCTATTCGGTATCTGTTTTATAAAATCGTCTTGTATAATTTCTGTTTTCCATAAAGATCTACCAAAATCGTCCTGGTTTCAACCCCTCAACGACGGGATTCGTATACATTTTGTATACGTTAATGCAACGTTATAATCTTAATAACATTAATTTTACAATATTAACGTAACATTATTAGATATACAAATGCGTCGGTAAACAATTACAGGGTTGCCCTCGTTCCAACCCCTAAACAATGTTATAATCTTAATAACATTAACATTATGACATTATACAACATTTACGTAACATTACTAAATATACAAATGCGTCGGTAAAAACAGTTACAGGGTATTATTTATTATTAAATGGTATAGATTGCGGTACGTTATTTGGCCGCGGTTAGATGTATTTGTACGACCGCGGCGATGAGGGGTTAACGAATGATGCGGGAGCTGCGATGCAAAAAAGTGACCCTTTTGGAAGCACGATTGTTGCGGATCAAGCGCGAAGGATACAGTGTACGAGAATTGATTAGCAAGGAGATTGGAGGGTTCGTGCCTCGGAAAAAAAATGCTCGGCGAGTCTGTTTCGACGAGGTCGAAGGAATCTGCGGGACGTTTCTTAACACCCCGTTCACGAGGCCGGCGAAGTGTCGCGAATCAAAGCACGGTGCCGAAGAAAAACGGCCGCCGAAGCGTGAAGCGTCGACGCACGTGGTTTTTGTTAGGCAGCTAGCTGCGGTCACGTGGCGGGACGATTTATTCGGGTGAGTCAGTGCCGTCAGTGAGAGAGGCTGGTAGCGGGCAACGAGAGGAACAGAGAGTGCGGGAGAGAGAGAGAGGGAGAGAGGGGGGGGACTCAACTTACCTAGAAATAGCTCGTTGAAGTCACCCTGTCCCCCGATGAAGACGCCGTAGTGTATGTTTAGCTCGAAGAACCGTCCCGGCAGCAATGACTTGGTCGTGTGTATCACGTCGATCCTCAGCGTGATGTTCGCCTCTCTCCTGGTCAGATTGACCTCGTGCCAGCTGAGGTCGTTCAGCGTGAGGCCCGGGGTGCTGGCCATCTCGCTCTCGCCGGCGCCCAGATTAATGTGGACCTGCGGACAGACGACAGAACGAGAAGTCGAAGGGAAGAGTGACAAAAAGCGGAAAACGAGAGCCGGGGAGCGAACGAGAAGCGGTAGGAACCCCGGCTCTTTAAATCATCCGAGCGGAGGCAAATAGTTCCAGCGGGCTTTGAAGGCGGCGATAATACTTTTCGAATCGCGGCTACCGGCGGCGCTACCCTCCCGAAACCATCTCTTTTTCGAGAAGTAATTATTCTTTGGACCGACGGGACGGCCAGAGACAGCGGTTTCAATGGAGAGATATTTTCCGCGCGGTCGGTGTGAAATTCCGAGTGCATCCTTATCGGCTGGCGTTGGACCGTTACCATGGAAAGATTTGGGCTTTGCGGCTCGTTCGTACGATATTTTCTGCATTTTTCAGCGAGCCCGAAGAGAGCCGGTGAGAGATAGAGACAGAGGGACCGGGACACTCGACGATCCAACGCCACGGTTTCTAGCCCGGCCGAGGAGAAGGCACCCGGATCCGTCGAATATCGATCTCTCTCTTTCGCTCTCTGTCATCGATTGCTCGTTTATCAGTCGCTTAGTCAGCCGGCTGGAGAAGGTAATCGGATTCCCGAAAAGTTTTCCGGGTCGCCGTGAACCAAAAAGTCGAATCCCCCAAAAGATATCTAGGCCGGTCGTTGTCTAATCCCTAGCCTTGTTTGAGCAAGAGTTCGGCCGAAGTAGACCTAAGTGAATTAGACGGAGAATTAGCATCCGTTTAAGCGGCGTTCCGCCGTTTTAGCGAGCGATTCTGTCCGAGAGGAGCAGCGGGAAAGAAAGCGGTGGCCGGGGTCACGGTAATCCCGGACCGCCGTTAAAATGAAACAGTTGTCACAGGGAAAAGTAGCCGGTGCATTTTATTAATCCGCGGAGTCTTTCGCAACGCGATGGGTCGCTGGAAACGGCCCGAGGATTATACGACCGTGGTTTTTTATTCCCTTTGGCGGTGGCTCGTCTTGGACCGTCTCTCTCTCTCTCTCTCTCTCTCTCTCTCTCTCTTTCACTCGCTCTCTCTCTTCCCCTCTCGACGTTATAAGGCCGTTAGGGCGGGCTACAAGTAATGCATTATCGAGTTAACGTAGGTGTTATAGTGCGCGCGACACGCTCCACCGAGGCGAGCCTCGACCTGCTGATAAAGAGTCTTTAATCGCGACCTAAATCGAGCCTCGCCGGAGACTTATAGCACGATGTCTTCGTGTAGTTTGCCTTCGTCCACGACCCGACCCCGCTTGATCTCGTATAGACACGATCGAGCCACGTCGACGACGTTGTCGACGACCAAGGTGGTCGTATCTTAATGAAAAGTCGATCGTTCGCGGGGACGGGTTGAAATTACGGTGGCCGCGATTGGCGCCGAGTACGACGACGACGATCGCTCTCTCTATCTCTTTCTTTCTCTCTGTGTGATCGTGTTTTCCTGTGTCCATCTCTCTCTCTCTCTCTCTCTCTCTCTCTCTCTCTCTCTCTCTCTCTCTCTCTCTCTCTCTCTGTGTGTGTGTGTGTGTGTGTGTGTGTGTGTGTGTGTGTGTCGGAGGTTTGGGTCCGTACCACCCCCGCACGCCGCGCGCGATCGATCCGCTCCTGTAATAAAGGCGCGAGCTTTTGCCAGTCGCAAGTTCAGCCGGTAGCTAGTAGCGCGATGTCCGATGACTATGCAGAAGCCCATTAATATGTATAAGCGCGAGAGACACGACACTTCGCCGAGTGTAAACGCGAATCTATACGTTCCGAAGGTCGAGAGAAAGAGCAGAGAGGGGTCAGGTGGGGAACGGGGGCGGGTCGCGCGTCCCGGTGCATTATCGATGCACCGGTGATTGGAAAGCGAGCAATGATCGAATATTCGACTGGTTCGGTTACACCGGCGAAAAACGCGCGGCGACGACCTCGCATTTTTTCAGCCCCGGCGCGGAGCGGCGCGGCCAGAGACGGATACGGAAACGGCGTGTTTCACGCTGACACCGCATCGCCGAGGATTTTTTGACGATAAAGCGGCACCGTGTAATGGCCAGCCGAATGAAACGAGCTTTGGTCACGCCCACGCCGCGAAAGAAGGCAAAACAAACATATATAATATTTCATTCCGCGGCTGACCGATGCTCGAACCGACGCCGATCCGCGTCAACAGCAGCTTTCCGCTGGCGGTGGATCTCGTTAAACGAGCACTTGCCGTTCTCCGTCGTTATAAGTAGATCGTGCATCTTTACGCGAACGATACATTCTGTGCATCGATCGCAAGAGAGTTCTACCGTTATCCCGGAATTTTATCAGCCACTTTTACTCGGTGAATCTTCTCAGATCTCCTACCAGCGACTCGAACGTTTCCATTTGGGAAGTTAGCAAAGTTAAGCTTCGGATAAAATATAAAGCGATGCAACGTCGGAGCTGATTGCTCTTATGTTAATAGAATTTGGTGGAAGAATGCCTTGAGTACAGGTTTTGCGAAACGAGAGTTGTTAATTTTTGTTAATTTAAAAGAATTAATGATCTTAATTTAAAAGAATTAAAGTTCTTTTAACAATCGCGCCACTCCGATAGAAACGACCAGACCGTGTTCACCGTAAAGGACTTTCTATTCGCTATAAGAGATTTCTTTTCTCTTTTTTATATATTTAGACAACGATTAATGAAAATAAGAATTTGAGTCGCGCGTGGAGAATGGAGGAATAACGAACAAATGTAAATCAAGTTAAATTTTTTCGCCATAAAATTAAGTACTGTTATAGTGTAATTAAAACGAACGTGCCCGGTTTTTGCGTGATCTTCGCAAAATCTTTGCGTGATCAATCTGTTGCAACAGTCCCAGAATGGAGCTGGACAGAACTGCAGAAAAACGCGAGGTCGGCTCGGCCTTTGCGAGAGACTGACGACGCTCCGTTGCACTTTTTGCCGTGGCGGCGTTTATCCGGTTCTCATCCTCTTTAACGATCGTCTTAACAAATTTAATTAAGCTCCGACACCGGCACCACTTGCCGCCGCCTCTGTCCCGATCCGAATCTTCGTGGACTTCGCCCATCGCGAAATTAGATTCGGGCGGTTTTCACACCGGATTCGCGCCGGCCGACCGGGAAACGGCACTTTCTTCCCGCCGCACCGCGACCTGCGCCCCCTCTAATGCACTTAGACCAGACGGTATTCGAGCGTTGCATCAGGGCACCGGATTACGAGAGTTACCGTCTCGGGGTTCAAACGAAAAGGAGCTCGGAAGTTCCGCGCCGAACCAGCACCCACGCGAACGAATTATCAAGCGATGCCGCCACTCTCGCCGAGTTCCGAGAGATTACGACCGAATTTCTATCAGGTGTACAAATCCCGTCGATGCCTCTTCCCCAGGAGTTCGACATCCCCTTACCGAACAATGAAACGCATTCCCGTCCTCGAAATAACCCCGGTCCCCGGTCGTTCGAACCTAGAAGAACGCGGACCGTTCTCGATCGATTCTTAGCGAAAATGCTAGGAATTAGCGAACTTCGCGAACTGTCCTTCCGTCTACCAAAACTTTCGAAACCGACAACTTTAAAACCTTTGTTTCATCGTCAATCTCGCGCCGACTTTCGACAAGTCGATAATTTCTGACAACCGCCCCGCATTTCGAAGGAAATCGAATTAATCCGCGCGCGCGTTTTTATTTGGCGCCTCTGTCTCCTCCCGCCCGCTCGCCGTGCCGATGAAATCTCTGTTCCAATCTTTTTTCTCCTTTTTCGTCGACATTGCATAAAGAGTCGAATTTAATAAAACACTCGACCGAGTTAAATATTAATATCGACGCGACGAGCGACGCATCAGGGAGATACTGAAATTTCCAGCAGCCGGCGCGCCGGATCGCTCGCGATACCAACTGCTCGCTTTGCTTTTAATAATTCACTACACCCAGGACGATGTCAGATCTTCTCGTAAAGCGTCGCGTCACGCTTAACATTCCCATAGAGGAAGTGCTTCGAGCCTTTTTAAATCAACTCGAACGAATCCGAGCCCGCATACATAATGGCGCACTTTTTGTTGTACGCAGGTCGATCGGAAACGAGCGGCGACCGTTCGCGATCCGTGGAACACTCTCGCGCGATTAACTTGTAAAACATCATCTGTCTAGCGGGCCGGAACGAAGACTTAGTTTAACGTGATTGGCGTTCTTTCCGAACCGCGCACCTTCCGGCTCCGACGGTATCGATTCACGTTCGAACGGGTCGATTAACTCCAGCCAATCCGGCCCGATGAAATATCGAGATCTCGGCTGCACCAAGTTTCCGCGTCGCGTCGCGTCGCGTCGCTGCAGCGGAACACAATTTTTTCGAGCGGCTCGAAAAATTGCAGGGAAAAAATCATCTGCGCGAGCGAGCTACATGCATAGTTCGTTCGTTCGTTCTCGTTGGGTCAGGCCGGGTCGCGACGAGTCGTTTCGGCGGCTCCGCGGGCTCGTTCGGAAATTATTGCAATTAAACCGGCAACTTTTTCCACTCGCGATCGCGGACGGGAAAGGGGACACGGTTTCGCCGTCGATGGAGCTTGCACCGTAAATGATGCCGCCGCTTAACTCGATTTACTAACGCCGCGAGTGCCGAGAATTGAATGTTAGTCGCTGTAAATGCCATGGAAAAATTGCGATGGGTTACTACGTGGAAATATTGCATAGCTAACGGGAATTTGCAAAAATTAATGCTTCTATGGTTGCGTGCGAACGAAGACTCGAGGTTCAGAATTGAACGGATAAGGGATTCGTTGGTCCTACGTCGGCTCTATAATCTACTCTATTTTTTCTGTTTGCTAAAGCAGCTGCAACGAGTGCGAGCACTATTTTAGGGTTCAAGTTCTATGTTATTGTTATTGTTTCGGCAGGGTGTTTACTTAGGTCCGTGACTACGCGGGCGTCTTTTACGGCGTCCTGTACGCCACAATCGATAATCGCGCGTGACAAATGACGAAGAAAACCCGGCGTACGAAACGCTGCCGCGATAAATGGGCCGTTTCATTACTAAGTCATACATTTTGGA